ATTTTGCAGCCCCCCAGTGGCCCGGTCCAGGCTCCAGAGGCCTGTAAAAGGCCTCTGCCACATGGATCTATGACTGCTGAGCGATTTTGTACCCGCCCCCCCATGGCCGATCCAGGCTTTGGAGGCCTTTTTGAGGCCTCCGGAGCCTGGATTCATGGCCATGGAGCAATTTTGCAACCCCCCCAGTGGCCCGATCTGGGCCCCAGAGGCCTTTTCAAAGCGGTAGTGATGGGAGGGCGATCCGTATGGCAAGTGGGGGGCAAACGGTGGTGGAGGCAGGTTGATCTATGCAGTGGGTGGGGGGAAATGGCAGTGATGGCAGGGTGATCCATGCAGCGGGTGGGGGAGAAACCTGCCTTACTTGTTCCACGGCCGCTTTTGGCTGAGCCACATTGCAGCAGTATTGGGTACAATACGCAAGATGGATCGCCCAGCTGGCTGTTTGCTGCCTCTTGCCCAATGCCATTGCCATGAGGCTGTGGAACAAGCCAGGCGGATGTAAGGAACCTGGTCGGGGCGACGGGAGAAGGGTGCTCTGCAAGGGCAGCGGCATTGGGCAGGAAGTATTAGGCAGGAGGCCGCCTCATGTATTGCGCCCAATGCCGCTCCGACCCAACCCTTGCAGAGCACTTCTCCCGCCGCTCCAACCCAACCCTCACAGAGTGCCCTTCTCCTGCCGCTCTGACCCAATCCTCGCAGAGCACCCTTCTCCGGCTGCCCTGACCCAGTTCCTTACCTCTGCCCAGCTTCTTCCATGGCCTCATTGCAGTGGCATTGGGTGCAACGCGCGAGGTGGAAAATGGCTGCGGCCAGAGAGAAACAGCTGCACCACACTGAAACTGGCCCTTTGCCATCTCCTTCCCAGTGCTGCTGCCATGAGACCATGGAACAAGCCAGGCAGAGGTAACGAACCAGGTCGGGGCTCTGTGAGGGTTGGAGCGGAGCAGCGGAAGAAGGGCGCTCTGTGAGGGTTGGGTCGAGACAGCAGGAGAATGGCGCTCTGCAAAGGTTGGGGCAGACACATATGGGGCTGCTGCCTTGCTTTCCATGCCATGCCAGGGCTGGGCTGGACTGGGCACGGAGCCTCCATGCTGCTTCTTCCCCTGCAGATATCGAAAGCGCCCACCCCACCTACCCCATGTCCCGGGGTGGCTACTGCCGTCCCACGCTCTCCAGCCTGTTGCCGGCCAGCCAGACATGCTGAGCTCGGGCCCTAGGCAGATGGAGGATGCGTGCGGGGAGAGGTGCCTCCTGGCTCGGTAAGCTGCGGTCTGCCTGCAGAAGGAGGAGGAGGATGGAGGAGGAGGGCTGGCCCGGGAAGGGTGCAGCGGTGCCCACGGGGGAATCTGACCAGCCCCAGCCTGGAGGGGGAGAGGCTGGGGAGCCTGAAGGGAGGCATCACAGTGCATCCGGCTGGCCAGAGATGGGCTGGAGAGTGCCAGACAGTGGCAGCTGCCCCAGGACGAGTGGTAGGTGGGGTGGGCACTCCCAATGTCTGCAGGGGAAGAAATGGCAAGGAGGCGCTGCACCCAGTCCAGCCCAGCCCCGGCAAGGCACAGCACAGAAAGTGAGGCAGCAGCCCCATGTGCATCCCCGTGCACAAGTGTGCCCCCACCCTGCCAGGCAAGCGGAGCCACGGTATCTGTGGCAGAAGATCGCAGGCAGGCAGCCACGGCTCTCACTGCACTCCAGCCTCCATCTGCCCGAGACCCGAGCTCGGTGCCCGGCTGGCTAGCAACAGGCTGGAGAGCGCCGGAGAGCAGCAGCTGTCCCAGGACAAGTGGTAGGTGGGATGGGTGCTCCCAATGTCTGTGGGGGAAGAAGCAGTGAGGAGGTTCCGCACCCAGTCCAGCCCAGCCCCGGCATGGCATGGCAACCGAGGCAGCAGCCCCATGTGCATCCCCTGCCAGGCAAGTGGAGCCACGGCATCTGCGGCAGAAGAGCACAGGCGGGCAGCAGAAGGCATGAGGAGCCTGGATCCCAACACAGCCCCTCCCCACTCTCCTCTCCCCCTCAGAAGAGCTGCAGGGCTCAGGAGCCTCCCCTCATGTCTGCCCCCAGGAAGAAAACCATAGTGAGACACTCTTCTGTTTTAACTTTTTTTCCTTGTCACTTTTGGGAGTTTTCATCCTGCTTTCATGAGACGGCAGTGTTTGGGAGGGGGTGTAGCTGCCCCCTTCCCTCCCAAGCCTTCAGTTGAGCAAGACATTCTCCTGCCCACTATCCCACCTGCCAGAGACCCCCTAAATCTGCCCCAACCCTGCCCAGCCCCCACAGGCATCCCTCCCCAGGAGCATCATTGAGCTGGCCATGCCCACCCAGTCTGCTGTGACCACCGTAGCTACACCCACCCAGTGGGCCACGCTCACCCAGCAGGGCATGCCCACCCACTGAGGCATGCCCACCTGGCACCCAGCAATACATAAGTGGGTTTTGGGTTCAGTTAGGGCACTTGGTCTCTAGAAGGTTCGCCACCACTGTGGAGAAGGAGGAAAGGGTAGTAATCTGTAGCCTAATTATTTTGGTTAGGTTCTCGGGCATATCTTTGATTTTTGTTCCAGGGAGACAACATACCTCCCTGGATTGTATGTCTGGTTTGCAGATGGATGATTCTGTTCCTTTGAGGATAGACATCTTAAGAAAGCAGAATTATTGGAAACAATTTCTTCCGACAGGAACTTTTATTAAGAGTAGTTGATAGCAGGCATAATAGACAAGATCTGAGGGATTCTTTACAGATCGATACTTTAAAGGGTCCCTAACCCCACCCCACAGTTCATCCGGACGGTTCAGACCGGCCAATCCCTAGGAGTTAAGTCCATCGTGGGAAAGGGAAGATAACATTGTTCTGGCTCCATTTTCTTTCCATTTCTTCCTTCTCCTTAGGGCTCATAGAGTATAGCCTGGGCTTCGGGAATTTTGCCCCGGACTTGAATTCTATGGCACAATCCATGGGTCGGTGAGGGGGAAGCTCATTTGTCCACTCCTCACTGAAAACTTCAGCAAGATCTCGGTATTTCTCTTGTATTTTGGAGTTTCTCATTTTTTGTTTGAGTCTCATTTTTTGTTTGAGTGGTTAGACTTGCATCTGTACGCTTCACTTTGTCTTTGAGTAATTCATTTGGTAACAGATATAATTCGGGTCTTCTGTGGGTATGAATGCATACATGGCATATATTCTGCAAATCACGTCTTTCTTTTAAGACTGTTTTTCTATGACTGTGTTATGTTTCTTGAAAATGCTCCCAATAGTCCCAATGCAGGGCCCCTTATTTTTTTTTTTCATTTTAAAATCTTGGTTTTAGAAATTTAAATGTTATTTTTTAAAAAAAAAAGTTTTTAAAAAATATGTTTTAAAAATGTTTTATTTTAAGATCCTAAACTGGTGTGATTATTTTAGTCTTTGGACCCCTTTTTTCTTTTAAAGATTTTAAAAATTCTAAAATTTCAAAAACCAGAAAACTTAAGAAATCAAAATTTTATTTAAAAAAAAGTTTCATGTAATTTTTAAACAATCTTTGGGTCCCTTCCTTCTTTTGAAATTTGGTCTTTTGCTCCCTCTTAAGGTTAATGTTGAAACAATACTTAAAAGTTAAACCTAATGTTGAATTCCCTCTTGTAGCTAGAGTTGACTAGTGCCATTCCTTCTCTCTCCCAATCTCTCCACCTTTCTTCACTTCTTTAATTTTACTTTTTCTCTTTCTTCTCTACACTAAGTACCTCATTGTTCCTGCTACCTTGTACTGCTCCCGCCAGTTGTGAATGCCACTTTGCGCCACTGCTACCAGCTGCATATGTCACCAGTTGCACCCATTGCCGATGTTAGTTTCATGTCAGTTGTGCCCATAATTGCTATCAGCAATATTGCCCAACACCACTGCCAACTGTACATATTGATTGCAATGCCACCTGCATCGATTGAGCTCACTGGTTGTACACCCCTGCAGTCTTTTCCCCATCCTCTTTTCTTCCTCTTGTTCTGTTTCTTTTCCTTCTCCTCTTTAACTTTTACTTAACTTTGCTTTAACCTTTTCTTCCTCCTTCTCCCCCCTTTCTGAAACATCATGCCAGGCCATTGCTTTTGTCCGTCTCTTGTGCAGCACCAATTCTTTCATTGTCCTTCTTTTCTTTCCTTCTCATTATTTGTTTAATTTTACTTAACTTTGCTTGAACTTTTGCTCTCCTTCACTTCTTTCTCCCATGGCATGCAACTGGTTTTACCTGTTGTGATGTATGGTTGCTGCCTCATCACTGCCATCTACAATAATTCATAGTTGAAAGTATCATGAAAATGACACTCTTATCTAGGAATCACCTGTCAAATCCAATTTCAGGAATTTCTGTTAGTTCCATTGTAAAATTTATTTCATCCCTTGTTTGCTTTACTTTGTAATATTTAAGGTTAATGCAAAAATATGTATGACTATCCATATGGATTTATCCTAAATGATTATTTACCTATATGTATTTATAAATTTATATATGTTTACTTAGTTTATTAGCTTTGTCAAAGTTAGTTATAATGGACTTGATGCAGTGTATAAAATTTTTGCTGCAGTTTACATCTTTTGCATACATTGGAACAGATATTTATTCCACATAATACATTTGTTGTATGCAAATAATATGATGTGATTTGCTTCATTTGTATGATACCATCAGCAAAATTTAAATCCCCACAATACCTAACTATCTAGGTCAATGCTTTATTGAGTATATTACACAAGAGTTCATTAGTTTTTCAAAATATTTTGTTTTAAGAGTAGGAAGCACTCTTCCTGCTAAAAATTACTTATTCCTTGTGGTAGCTATTTGACAGTAGTTTCATGAAACATCTGTGTTTTCATAACTTAAAATGTTTTGAAAAGATCTCATTTCTAAATGGGTAAAAACAAATTATTTAGGTCTTATTTCTTTAATTCTGTGCTTATTCCCTTCTCACATTCTCTGCATAATTTTAAAAAAACATTGTATACACTCAGAAAGACACAGAGAGGAAATTGGTTTCAGGATGGATTTTTAATAGACAGATAGCATCTTTCCCTTCATTCTTTTTAACTTATTTCAACAACTTGAAGATATGAATCAGAATTACTTTTCAATTCATGCAAGGGCTGGAATGAAATATTGAAGAGAGACATCCTCATGGAGCAAGATGAAATGAACAATTCTCTTACTTACAATATCTGCAAGACACAAATCCATATTTTAAAGAATAACAAAACCCAATGTGAAGCATAGAAATGTGTCAAGTGCTTCCTATTCAATAAAGAGTGCATACAACTTATGACTATAACTGGAACCAGAAATCTAATCATAAGTCAAAGCAAGTAATTTCCTGACATTTCTACAGGAGTGGGACAACTCGCCGTGGACAATTCACCATGGCCATCTCGCCAGTCAATTCACTATGGTCAACTTGCCACGAAATAACTTGTTGTGGCCAACTCACCACTGGCCAACTTGCCGCAGCACAATTCAATTATTTAACATAATTTGAAAAATAATTTAATTTTTGTCATTTGCATTTCTTATTGTCCCTCATTTTGCAACCTTTCTTTAATAATAATAACAGAATAACAGACTTGGAAGGGACCTTGTAGGTTATCTAGTCCAACTTCCTGCCCAATTCTGACATATGGCAGTCCAGTCTCTTGAAAGCTTCCAGTGATGAAACCCGCATAACATCTGAGGGCAAACTGTTCCATTGGTTGATTGTTCTGTCAGAAAACTTCTCCTTATTTCTATGTTAAATCTCTCCTTGATCATTTCCATCCATTATTTCTTGTATCGCCTTTAGGTACTTTGGAAAATAGATTGATCCCCTCCACTCTGTGACAGCCCCTCAAATATTGGAACATTGCTATCATGTCTCCCCTAGTCCTTCTCTTCACTAGACCAGCCATGCGCAGTTCCTATAACCATTCTTCATATGTTTTAGCTTCTAGTCCCCTAATCATCTTTGCTGCTCTTCTCTGCACTTTTTCTAGAGTCTTAACATCTTTTTTATAGTGTGGAGACCAAAACTGGTTGCAGTATTCTAGATGTGGTCTTACTAAGACTTTATAGAGTGGTATTAGTACCTCACACGATCTTGATTGAACCCCTCTGTTAATGCAACTTAGGACTGCATTGGCTTTTTTTGGCTGCCGCCGCACACTATTGCCTCATATTTAATTGATTGTCCACTAACACTCCAAGATCCCTCTCATAGTTACTGCTATTAAATCTGGTTTCACTCAATCTATATGTGTACTTTTGGTTTTTCTTACCTAAGTGTAAGCTTTTACTTTTCTCTACATTGAATTTCATTTTGTTAGATAGGGCTCAGTGTTCAAGTCTGTCAAGATCCATCTGGATCTTGAGCCTATCATCTAGGGTGCTGGCTATTCCTTCCAGCTTAGTATCATCTCCAAATTTGATAAATTCCCCTTCTATTCCCTCATCTAAGTCATTTATGAATATGTTGAAGAGTACTGGGCCTAGTACAGAACTTTGTGATTCCCCGCTGGTTACTTCCCTCCATGTAGACGTAGTACCATTAAGGACTACTTGTTGAGTACAGTTTGTCAGCCTGTTACAAATCCATCTGACGGTGATGCTGTCTATCCCATTTTTTTCTAGTTTTCCAAGAAGTAGGTTGTGGTCTAATTAATTATTCTATTTCACCATTTCTTCAATATTAATGAAAGGCTTATCCCACAGTGAGTTGTCCCACAGCGAGTTAGTCATGGTGAGTTGGATGCGAGTTGGTTGCAGCAAGTTAAGATAAGATAAGATAACCTTTATTGTCATTTTTTTTACTGTGGGCACAACGGCACACATCAAAAATGAAATTTAGTTGCCCGCTCTCAAAGTGAAACACATACATGACACCCATCTAAACATACTATGTACAACATATGTATAGACCCACACCCCTACATATACATAGCAAATAAATATTAAATACTGTCCATCTTGAATATATAACAGAAGGAGGAAGTTGGATGCGGCGAGTTGGTTGTTGCGAAGAAAGCATGGTAGTTGTTAATCAAACCCATTCCTTTGAATGGCATTTTTTGCCAAAGGGAGCAAAAATAAGAATAAATTGCAGTCACATGACCATGGAACACTGCAACTGGTCATAAACTTGACCAGCTTGAAATACAATCATTTACAATGGCCAAGGGTGCTTTATGGGCCATAAAACATCAGTTCCATGACCATCAAAAGAATTTCAGTCATGCCAGAGAACAGGAAACTCAGAATTTCAGATATTAGAAAAAACATTGAAGAAAAAAGAAAAAAAACCTGCATCAACTACCTAATACCAAATCGTATTTTTTGCTCGCGGCCATTGAGTTCGCATCATGTAAAGCAAGATATATCTAACAATAATCCAGAGCTCAATGGGGTGGCAATTCTCTTAAAGTCTGTTGAAGTGATTTATTAGTGGGAGAGAATTCAGCCAAATGGTAATTATGGATTTGCAGTGGCGTGACACATAGTCCTTTAGCCAGCATGATAATTTGCCAGTCTGCTAAAGTCATGGATCTGGAGGCTACCAAACTACCATATTGGTAGCAATATGCATATTTATTTTGGATAAATATTTTCATTTAGTTTTTTATTGTTTTAAAATGTTTTTATTGTATATGTTTTAATTATAAACCACCCGGTATTGAGCTGTAGAAATTGAATAAAAACAAACAAATAAATATTTGATGCAGAACTGATCCTCCATTGGACACCATTAGTTTAGCCTGAATAAATTAACAACCAGGTATTTTCTTGTTATAGAAAAGAATGACAATTTTTATCAAATATTATATATAATTATATCTACCTAGATCAGACATGTCAAACATAAGGCCTGGGGGCCGGATGCGGCCCGCAAAGTGGTTTCATGTGGCCCGCAAAGCCATCTTGGAAACAGTGAGGGAATGGCCCCCGCTGCCTTGGCCCTGACCCAGGCCGGCCGGGAGCCAATGTACAATTTTGTGGTAGCCATCTATGCTGAAACGCATTCAGTCTTAGCTCCACACGGCCGTCTAGAAACAGCAAGGAACCAGCCCCTGCCGCGGCAGCCCTGCCCCCTGGGTGCATGCTGGGGAGGTGTCATCCTTTGTGAGGAATGAAGAAATGGACCATGCCTTGGCGCTTGCCCTGGTCCCACCCCCTTCTGCCAGAGACCCTCAGATCTGTCCCACTTCTGCCAGGCCCTCACAAGCACCCTTGACGCGAACGATGTAGAGCTGGCCATGCCCACGCAGAAGGCCACACCCACTCCATCCACGCCCACCCATTAGGCCGCACCCACCCTGGCCACACACCCCCCAGGGCAACCACAATGCTGATGCGGCCCTCAATGAAATTGAGTTTGACACCCCTGACCTAGATAATTAAACAGATTAAAAGACTAGCCAGAAAGGTACACTTACTACATAGTGCTTTTGTAGGGTTGACTTGCTGCCCTGCAAGAAGCTGGAGAAGTCTCTTAATGTCAATGCGTGCCTCAGCCATATTCACAGGGTCTCTTTCCTGAGTAGAATTTTGAGAATCATGCCAAGATACTAAAATTCAAAACAGAAAGTATTTTTTGTTATCTACACCCAGACTTGTAGGTTAGCTCTAAAGAAATTCCACAATGTTTAAAACATTATAATTAGCACCTCCTGAGATAAGAGCAACCTGGAGATAACCAAGTAGCTAATATAGATAGTCCTTGACTATGACCACAATTGAGCCCAAAATTTATGTTGCTAAGTGAGACATTTGTTAAATGGGTTTTGTCTCACTTTATGACTTTTCTTGCCACAGTTATTAAGTGAATCATTCCAGTTGTTAAGTTAGTAAAATGATTGTTAAGTGAATCTGGCTTCCCCATTGATTTTGCTTTTCAGGTCACAAAAGCTGTCCACGTGACCCAGGGTCACTGCAACTGTCATAAATATGAATCAGTTGCCAAGCATCCAAACCATGGGGATGCTGCAACAGTTGTGAGAAACATAGTAATAAGTCACTTTTTTCAGTGCTGCTGTAACTTTGAATGGTCACTAGTTGTAAGTCGAGGACTACCTGTACTTCTCAGAACAATTCTATTGTTCAATAGTAGTAACTGTGAGAGTGATCTCGGAGACCTAGTGGTCAATCACTTAAAAATGAGCTAGCAGTGTGCTGCAGCTGTTAAAAAAGTCAACACAATGCTAGGCTGCATTAACAGAGGGATAGAATCACGTGAAGCGCTAATACCACTTTACAATGCCTTGGTAAGGCCACACTTGGAATACTGCATCCAGTTTTGGTCACCACGATGTAAAAAAGATGTTGAGACTCTAAAAATAATACAGAGAAGAGCAACAAAGATGATTAGGGGATTAATATATAAGGAACGGTTGCTGGAATGAATTGGGTATGTCTAGTTTAATGAAGAGAAGAACAAGGGGGGACATGATAGCAATGTTCCAATATCTCAGGTGTTGCCATAAATAAGAGGGAGTGAGGCTATTCTCCAAAGCACCTAAAGGCAGGACAAGAAGCAATGGATGGAAACTAATCAAAGAGAGAAGCAACCTAAGGAGAAATTTCCTGACAGTTAGAACAATTAATCAGTGGAACAACCTGCCTCCAGAAGTTGTGAATACTCCAGTACTGGAAGTTTTTAAGAAGAAACTGGACAGCCATTTGTCTGAAATGGTATAGGGTTTCCTGCCTGAGCAGGGGGGTTGGAATAGATGACCTCCAAGGTCCCTTCCAACATCATCATCATCATCATCATCATCATCATCATCATCATCATCATTATTATTATTATTATTATTATGGAAACGTAAAGGCATGGGCTTCCCTGAATGCTAAAAGGGGACAGAGTAAGCTGCCTGAGGAAGAAGCACAGGTGGAAAACTGCTGCAGGGTGATCGGTTTCACCCACCACAAAACTTCTCAGGTTGTCCTGAACAGCCTCGGTTACCAAGGTCACTCCCACTTGCACGAAGCAGCAGCCCATATGGGCTACCTCCATCCAAGCCGGGAAAGGGAGAAAGGAGGCTTATCGTAACTTCCTTTGCTTCCCCAGGTGCTTAAGTCTTCCTTCCTTCCTTCCTTCCTTCCTTCCTTCCCTCCCTCCCTCCCTCCCTCCCTCCCTTCCTCCCTTCCTGCAGCGATTGCTGGTCCGAACTTTCTTGCCGCCCTGCATTGGCCCACGTCTCTCTTTTCTGTTCTAGAAATGGCAACCCCATTTTCTGCCGCTTTCCTCCCAGCAGAAGGGAGGAAATGAAGGATGCTTCATATGGAAGGACGGTAAGCTCCAGGAAAACTACAGCAGCTGGAGCTGGGTGGGGAAGGCCAGGTTCCCTTTCCACGATGGTTCTGCAAAGCCCTTGAAAAGTGGATCTGCTTCCCACAGGATTGGCCTCGGCACCCACTTCGGAGAACAAACAGATGAGCTTTGCTCTTTTTCTCCAGGAGACCCTTTGAAATTGTGCCCCCCTTGCTTTTCTGTCTTAAAATCCAGAGCAGACAAATTTTCCTCCTGATCAGCTGAGGATACGGTAGCTACCAGTATGATTTTTGTAAGAAGCTGAGTGTACCGGTCTGTGTGAGTCCAGCCGCCTTGGCGGGAAGCAGATCCGCTTCTCAAGAGATCTGAACCATCAGAAAAGGGAACCCTGGCTTTCCTGTCCTCGCCCAGCTCCAGCTGGCATAGTTTTCTTGGACCTTAGCATCCTTCCATACGAAGCACCTTTCCTTTTCTTTCTGTGGTAGAAAACAGGGCCATTTCCAGAACAGAGAAGGAAGAATGGGCTGATGCAAGGTAGCAAGAAAGTACGGACCAGCGATTGCTACAGGAAGGAAGGAAGGAAGGAAGGAAGGAAGGAGGGAGGGAGGGAAGGAAGGAAGGAAGGAAGGAAGGAAGGAAGGAAGGAAGGAAGGAAGGAAGGAAGGAAGGAAGGAAGGAAGGAAGGAAGGAAGGAAGACTTAAAGACACCTGGGGAGGTGAAGGAGCTACCATAAGCTTGGAAGGGAAATGAAAGAGAAGAGGCGGTGGGCAGCCAGGTCATTGAAATGGTGGGAAGAGGTCACCGAACGGGGAGTATAATGCAAACACAAGAAATAGAAAATAATCCAACCAGTGTCTTAAACTTCAAAAGAGCTGATTTTAACAAACTCAGAGAGAACCTAGGAAAGATTCCATGGATGAAAACTCAAGATGTGTGGGAAACTCTGAAAAATGCAATCATAAAAGCCCAGTCCAACAGCTTTCTTTGCTGGGTCGTATAGCGGCCATTAAAATGAACATTTTGCCTAGGTTTCTTTTCTTATTTCAGATGATACCTATTTTAAAAAATGAACTTAACTTGAAAGAATGGCAACGAGATTTGAATCGTTTTATTTGGGAAGGCAAGAAGGCGAGAGTTAAATTTAAGATTATTCAAGATAGCAGAGAACGTGGA